TGTGGAAGACGATGTTTCGCGGCCTCCAAAACAGAGTTCCACAACTGGAGATGAACGCGGAATTATCCTTATCCTCGTGAATCTATCTTTAGTAGTTATGTAAAAGTTTTGCTGGATAAAGAAATATATATAGAAATACTTCTAACCTAGTTTTGATAGAGTCCGTCCGTCCGACCTCTATAATTATTATTATATTATTATCATACATAATTATCTCCTGATCTCATGTAACTGAATTTACATGAATTCAATTTAATTTCATAAATGTTTTTAAGCTGCCGAATTTATTAACTTTTATCCTAGGACCTAAAACTATTAGGTGTATTGTTTGGGAATCAAGCTAGAAACTTTGGTCAGAAGTCAAACAGAATTAAATCCTTTTATGAAAAGGTCAGGCAGAAATATGCAAAGAGATCTGTGTTTAACAACCCTTACAACACGCTTGTTAATGAAATTGGAGGAGATATAAATAATGTGGTGTGTACTGGTACCTCAGTATACACAGGGTTTGAACCAGCAACCCCAGACAATGCTCGAGGTAATCCATTATATTTATAATTTGACGCCAGTTTCTTGCTACTTATGTAATTATTACAGACATTGCAACAATATTGGAGGCATGTGAAGCAAATATTACATTGGAGTGCTCAGACGAATTTACGGCTGCAATGGAAACCGAAATAGAAGGCTGTATTGATACTACCGCTGCATACAGGTATGAAATTAGAAATCCTTTAAAATATTTATCAGTTTCAATGGATTTGGATTGGGGCTGGGGGTGTTTTTACTGATCTGGGATTGACATGGGTGGTTTTAGCGGGGAATGATTTCTTTAGTCAAAACTGGTCATGAAGAAACTGGAACGATCAAAATTAAGAATGGTAAGATAACACTTGATAACAATTTTTGATGTTTAACAGTTCTTTATTTGTTTTTTAACTGTCATAATCCCTATTAACAATCATCATCATGAAAGACGAGACATAGTTAACAATTTAAAACAATTTGCCTAAATGTAACAAAAGATATTAAAACGGGGAAATGATTTTTAAAGATTTTGAAGAAAATTAAATATTGGACTGCAAGTTATCCTTCTTTTAGCAACCTATTCACCCAAAAAATGTTTTTTCCACTAAGCAACATTTCTCGAATTTAGTGGAGAGAAAACAGTTCTTTTTCTAACTAAAAACAATCAGTTAGAAAGAGTTTATGTTTAAACATTTTAATAATATAGATGATAGTGGAGGTGTTTATACAGGGTATCTAGAAAATATTTACTCTAGGCTGGTAACATAATTTAAACTTTTTTTTCCAGGCAAAAATTCCTGGAACTTTTTCAACAAATTAATGTTGCTGAACAGGTAATTTTAAGAGATTGTAAGCACAATTTTACCTTTCATGCATAGGTAACAACGCCAAATTAACAACAGTACCCCTGAAACCTTAGTCTGATCAAAAATGTAAAAAATAGTGTTGTTTTTCTGACTCGAAACTTGTTTAATTCTTATAATTTCTCCGTTGCTTCTTATAAGCAAGAAATGTCACTTTTGCAATTAAAAGTTAACAGTTTATAGAAACATTTAACAAAAACATGGAAATACATGATTAGATAAAGCTTTTAATGACTGTGGATTTAATCTGAATTGAGAGAAAATTATTACTCTACCCTATGCTCAAGATTTTTGCCTGATAACAACAGATCTGAGAAGACATCAAAAAATTCAAAATGAAATAAAATCCAAGATTGAAAGTATGGGAATGAGATTAAAACCAGCAAAATGTAGATCATTTTCCATCAGATCAGGTGTACCTAGCAGAATAAACTTTACTATTGGTGAAACTGAAATTCCAAATATATTTCAAGAAGAGCAGAAATTTCTTGGCAAACCTCTATTTCCTACTTTTAGTGATGCTTTCGATTTCATCGATGAATATCAAGTCTGGATCTACAAATATTTTTTCATTCCTTCTATTCGATTTCTGCTCACTGTTCATACAATATCACAGAGTCATCTGAAGAAACTAGATACATTCACTGATAAATTTGTAAAAAAATGGACTGGATTACCACCCTGTGCAACAAATGCTGCTCTACACTTGAAACCTGGCCTAGACATCACTTCAATATCCACCCTGTACAAAACAACTATGACGCAAGCATACACTAGGATAAGAATACTACTGGGTGATCAAACAGTTAACTCTGCCTTACAATCTAACAAAAACGATATACTTGGAGGCACACAAATCTAATTAAATATATAACTGGATTAATTGATATTGACAGATTTTTGAAGTATGCCGACATCCCGTCCCATACCCTTTCAGGGGGAGGTACTGTTCCCCCCCCCCCACCTCCTTGTGACCGCGCTGAAACTAGATCTAGTAATTATCGATAGAATGGAGGAAAAGATGGATATTTTTGGGCTTACTGTCCCATTGGAAACAAATATCAAAAATGCCAACACTCAAAAGATGAACAAGTATGAACATTTTATCACATATATAACAACTAGGGATGTGTCTGTTCACCCGTTTTGAAATCAGCTCAAGAGGATATATCTCACCATCAAATAAAGCAAATCTAAAGAAACTGCATAAGTTTTACAAACCCAGTGTTAGTTTCAAATCAATGTGCGAAAACCTATCGAGCCTTGCAGTGCTGTCATCATACCACCTTTTTAGAAAACGAAAAACACTAGACTGAGACCAAGAAACTCCATTTCTGAAAACCACCTCTGAATAACTAAACTATAATCATGCTAAAAGTCTTTTATTGCACCTGTTTTTTGGCAATCCCTGTCAAGTATAAAATGCGATATCCAGAAAAAAAGAGTATTAGTTTTTAAACTTTTATATTGTTTAATGTAATTTTGCTTTAAACAAATATAAATGATAAATGAATATTTTTCTAACTCCTATATCTTTGCAACTTGATGGTGTAAACCTTTGATATTTCAAACTTAGACTATTTGATCTACCAGAATTAATAGTTTGAAATATCAAAGGTCTAGGAAAACGAGTTGCTAAGTTATAAGAATTAGAAAATCTGAGTTGTGGCAAGAACTCAATTCCTTTCTTTAATTATAAATACTTAACATACTTAACGAATGTAGCGTCAATTAAAGATTTTAAAGACGTCATGACATCTATAATTTCTAATCGAAACATCTGTAAATGTATCATCATTTGAAATTATGTTCTATTGCAGATTTGTGTTCAAGTTACAGAACCCTCGATACAAAATCTGATCCCGGATCTTCAAGCATGTAATACTATGATAGCCTATGATACGATAGCATTAAACAGGAAAATAAGATGCAATAATGGTAAGCCTTTTTCTCTTATCTATAAATAATTAATAGTTTTAAACTAATAATTTGTAATGTTTAGCATTTCTTGAGTGCAGAAAGGCAGAAAGAGACAGTATTCAAATCATAGCAGAATGTTCTCCAAATGACTGTACTAGTTGCTTATGTGAGGTTACGACTGTTGGACCTATCGTTGGAAGAATAAGAAATAGGATGAATCGGTTCAAAGAATTAAAAACGTTTTTTTAAAACAGGCAAACTTGGTGTAAGAATTCAAAATAGTATTTTGGAATAAGATATAATTTATAACAGATTAAAATTTAAATGTAAATAAAGACACCTTTTAAATTCTTATAATTTTTTTGTTGATAGATATAGTGCTTTAACTTGACTTTAACGGTTTATGTATGAACCCGTTGAAAACGACGGCACATTGTAGTGACCCTGCAGTGCAGCAATTATCATTTTACAAAGGAATTGAGTCTTTGTCACAAGCTCTGATTTTCAAATCCCCATATTTCTGCAACCCAATGTCGTAGACATTAGATATTTCAAACTATAAACCCTGTTACATTAAATATTCAAAGTTTGAAATATCAAACATTTACATTATCAGGTTGCAAGGATATAAGGATACAAAAACTTGTGTTTGTGGCAAAGACTCGATTCCTTTTTTTGTTTCTTAAAGTTTTGCCTAACCTGTGAACCCAGAAACCACATGTACATCTTCAAAGAGATAGACGTTAAACGATAGAGGAAATTTTCAGAAAAGTTTGATAAAATAAAAATATTTTATTTTTGAGCTGATTACTGTGTGGTGTATGAAATTCACTCTCATCCTGAATCATATAAATTAGGGTCTCGACATTTTTTGAGGAATTTGTTCTGGAATTTGGTGAAAATTTCTTTTATAGTTTGCAAATGATTCTTTTCAGCTCATTCAAGATATTATTTGAATGTCATACATTACAATATGCATCAACCACTTAGCAAAGTGAAAACATTTAGTACACAATTTTGTAATGTTATTTACACAAACTTGTTGTGTGCAAATTAGTTCTGCAACGACAGAGCTGTGTAAAATGCTTTCACTCTTGTCGTAATACAACTACTTTGAATTGGAAATATTTTCAATTAACCAGAAAATAAAGAATGATTCTTTTGGATTGAAAATTAACAATCAATTTTATTTGTAAGCAGAATATTCTGCAAATTTTTCTTTAAAAATCTTCCATGGCTGGGGATGAGCCAGAACAATAAAGTGAGTTTAAATGTCCCGGCCAAGTTACATTCAAGCATTTCTGTTCCATGTATAGCACAGAGCGTCCCATATAACACAACCAGTGTACATTTGAATATCCGAGATGGGCCAACCTTACCACTGTACCGCCAATTTACAATTACTAAAGCGGCAGACTTGGGTTATTTCAGATTATCTTCAATTTATCACCAAAATACGCACATAATACTCAAAAAACCTAAAATGTTCTGCAAGCACATTTATACTAGCCTTATACAGTTTTTTAATAAGATTCATTCTTTAATTTTCTGTTAAGCCCCAAAAATCGTAATTTATAGCCATTACCGAACCAATATAATGTGGGAAACCCTGTTTATTATGCGAAAACAAAATTGGGGTTCCTTGAGAACCAAGGCCTATGCTGACTTAACAGTTCGTTACTTGTCCCAGGAAGCTGTACTTTTGATCACAATTTAACCTGTCAAACGTAAAGTTTTCGCGTTTTCTTTTTTTATACTTCTGTTGAACTTTTGTTGAACTTTAGTCCAACAAGAGATTGGTTTTAAATTGAAGAATTTAAATGCATCTTGCCCTGGTTAGTCCAGGACACGTTAGGCCGTTTAGACGTTGGTTTAGACAAATTAAAAAAACTATTTCTAAATCGATCATTCGAACAAACTTAAAAAAACGATAAATTTTCAATGTACGGGCAGCCGTAGTACATTTGAATTTTCGGGCCGGTCAACCTTTCCGGTCCCAGTTTGTACTGTGTCGCTCGGACATTGGGTAAATAAAGCAGACACTCAATAGGGCTAGCCGGTGCAACAAGGTTGACGCGGTCAGACTTTAGGTTGAATTTACTTTTACTAAAGGGTCAGAGGTTCGTGAATGAACAAAAACGATTTTGAACAAACTTTTGAAAAAATATTAATTTTTCAAATGAACAAAATATTTTTTCGAACAAACTAAAAAACGTTTTTTAAATATTCGAAAAACAAATTTTAAACAAACTATTTAAAAACGATCGGTTTTTGTAAATGAATGAAGGATTTTTACGAACGAAGTTCTGAAAAAAAAAGTTTTTTACTGAACGAAAAATTTTATTGAATGAGCGATTTTTCTGAACAAAAGATCTCACTGAACGATCGTTCAGTTAGAAAACAAACAAACTTGGTGGTTAACGAACGATGATCAAACGAATTGAAAAAAAGCCGAACGCACCTCTATCTCTAGGCCTTTAGGTTGCAGAATGCATGGCGCCCTTTGATTTGAGGAAGATATAAAAGCAGAAAAAAAAAGATTTTTTATATAGAAAAACAATTAATAAACATTAATAATATGAAGAAATTTGATGGATTTCAGATTAAAACAGAGAAAAAATAGATTTCTCAGAAAAGCAATTGATTTTATTAACATTAATATGAAGAAATTTGATAGATTACAGATTAAACAATTATCGTTATCAATAGTATGGGGAAAACAGTCTCAACCTCCAAATAGTTCATCATTACCGATTATAAATGTCAGAACAATAAATATTTCATTTTTGCGCTTTTTCCTGAAAATGTAAATATGTATGTTTTCGCCTCAGATTTTGCAGATATCCGAAATGAAATATATATTCTAACATTCCAAGAATTTTATCGTTCTGAATAAACATGAAGTAGTGAGAAATCAATGATATACAGGGTTACCCACAAAGTCTGTTTTCTTGCATTCAGGGTTCCTTGTACAGACTTACCCATTAGATATGAGACTTCAGAGACAACTGTACGTTTCTTTTGTACTTTCTGATTCCCTGCAGGTGAAGTCCATGAACTGAGTATGCTATTGCTTAACGTTCTTTTAAAATCATTTGGCAAGCCATAAAATACTAAACAACCAAAATACTTAATACAAAAATATAATTGTCATATTAAAACTTGAATATTTATACAAAATATACAATAGACATAAAAATATTAAAGAAAAGCTGAAGTGACCGGCGCTGCCCGTGGAATTTTTAAAAATCGAATTTAAAAAAGAACTAGATTTTTTAAGAACATAATTTTTTAGCCTATGTTAGCCCCGTGGTATTCAAGGGTTCCCTCAAAACATTTCAGCCCATTCGGTCCAGCCGTTTGGCCAGCTATAGCTAACATATTTATATATATATATATATACACAAACAAATATGTATATATGAGCAAAGAGCTTTATTATTTAGATTAATGAAAGCTCTTTGCCAAACGGTGATGGACAATTTTGATATATCAAATTTAGAATATTTGTTTTTAATCTTATTCATAGTTTGAAATATTAAAATTCTAAGACATCGGTTGCAAAGATAAAGGAATTAGAAAATTTAAGTTTCTTTCCTTTTCCACATTTTCTATAAATAAAAGCTATTTGCTAATTTATACATTTAATTATATAATTCATCTTGATTAAATTACATTTCATATGTTTTTACTATTTATATATTTAATTATATAATTTATATTGATTGAATAACATTTTCATATGTTTTTACTATTTATATATTCATGTTCACTATAGCTGGCTACACGGCTTAACCAAACCCCAGCTGAAATATTTAAAGGAGTCTTACTTTTCTCAAACAAAAATAAGGAAAGGAATTGAGTCTTTGACACAAACTCTAATTTCTTATTTTCTATATCTTTGCAACCCAATGTCGTGGACCTTGGATATTTCAAACTATGAAATTTATTAGATCAGATAATCCAAGTTTGAAATATCAAAAGTTAACATCTTTAGGTTGTAAAAATATAGGGATTAGACAATTTGAGATTGTGCCAAAGACTCAATTCCTTTAGGAAATTCCATGGGTAAGGCCAGAACACTTTACCAAAAATCATGATTTATTACCAAGCACGGGTAAACGGCGAGAGTAACATATGCCCATGAATAATAATAATAACTTTGGCAACGCCGAGCACTCCAGCCAGTATATAATAAAACTTTGAAATTTGGAAATAAATTCTTTATTAAGAATTGGGTGCAAGCAAGGTTAACAAGAAACAACGTGCAAAATATTTGAATAGTTTCCATGTCAATATTAAGGAATATCAGGAACAATTTTTCTACTCCTTTGGTAAAACGGCATTAAAGGAAAAATTTAAAGAAATAATGTAAATCTTCTGCTTTTCCTAAACTGAGCATGTAAAAAACTTAAGCCTAGCTGCATTTTATCCAATTTGACCCTATGTTGTCATTTGTCACATTTTGCTCTATAAATATTAATGGATTATCATTATCTATAAAATGAGCTAGAAATTTCTAGTAGTCTTTTTTCCTCCAACTGTTTAGGTCCTTTTTCTATTTTCTTCTTATAACCCCTGCTTGGCCTTATAGTTACGCCTCCGAATTTGGGTATTTAATTAATCATCTATTGATTTTCTTTGCTGAACTTGTAATACAGCTGGAGTCATAAATGTATAAATGTAAGGAAAAAGACAATTGTCAATGAGTCTCATCCCTAACCATGTATTTCTTCAGATACCATGAATATATATTTATATAAACTTTTCAATATCACCGGACAATTAAATCTATTTGATGTTGTTAAAAAGCAAATAGTTTTAGTAGCCTCTTATAAAATACATTGTTAACTGAAACGGGTCTATTTACATTGCACAATTGCTGTTTCTCATGTTCATTGGACCATTTAAAGTCAGAACTTGAGACTAAAATCATCTTCCTGTTTCAGAGTTTTCTGGTTCTCACTGTATCTCGGGGAACCATCCCGGAAATCTTTCTCTATTTTGATCCAAACATGTCGTATCCATATTATCCATAGATGGAAGAAGATCTATTGTCTTATGAATTTATATACAGGGTTACCCACAAGACTTTCCTGACGACCCAAAACCCTTTAAATCAGATTAGAAAGGTTCACTTTGATCTTTCGCATTATGTTTGGTCCTTTAATGATTAAACAATTTTTTTCAATTTTTATTTTCAATTTTTAAGCATTAAAACGTATATTTTGCTATTTTTACACACTAAATTACCAATCATAGAAAAATTAGAATTGTCAATGTTGTGACTGAAAATTCATTTTGGTTTGATTAAACATTCAAAAAAATAAATGGACACAGAATATCTCCTGGAA